TACGAGTACCAGGGCAGAAAGATACCCATGATGTTCCTCCGATGAGGCACGAGCAAGGCTCACCTCCCGCCTCAGCGGTCCCCACCTATTATGCACACCAAATATGAAGCCATCTCCAATCCCAGCCTGACTGGAGAAGGCCTTTAGAATTCACGTCACGTCCTTCGAAACTCTTGTATGGTGTCACCCATGGACAGCGACCTGGGGATCAGCACTCTTGATCTAGAAGACCTCCAACATCGAGCAGCTCAGACAACGTCGCTACGGTCCAGGATATCACCTTCGCCACGTCGCCAAGCACGGCTTCATGGTAGGGACGCGGACATGTAGCCTGGAAATGGAAAGACCGATACTTTCCTTCTGGACCGCCCGTTTTGAAGGTCGAGCGCTGGCGGCCTACATTCAGGCAAACTCGAGAAGAATAATCTCCCCTACATTTCGTCGTCCGTGCCATGCTTATAACCCTTTGTACTGCTACAGGTTTGGGTGGCACCACAGTGGAAAGGACGGTTGCGGAAAAGCCCCCCCCTTGCTTGAATGAAGGCGTTTGGGCAGGCAAGAAGATGGAATATTCTAAGTGTGCCACCGTGACCTAAACCTCATCAGATTTACCCGATTCGGAGGGAGCTTCAGGCAGTGTGGTCTAAAGGCGGCGGGAGAATTCAAACAACTACCTCGCTGAACTCAGCCACCGAATCACGGTCGCATGGCAGAATCTCTCGATGGCGCTCCCCCAGAATGCTGTGGCCGAGTATCATGATAGATCTATATGCTGTTGAATAATGGTGGTAGAGCATGTCGATCAGAATTCCAATACAAAATGTAAGTTTATAGCGCCTCGGTTGATCGAAGGAAGAAAGTGACTTTTTTTGCCCCCCCCCTGTATAGATCACATCGTTATCCAAATGCTTTAATTACCTACAAATATACGATTATTGTGGCCAGTCTTAAAAAAGTGCGCCACTCTATTCTTGTTATACCTGAGTTGATCGTGACGAGATGGTATGTAACATCTTGTTAGCTAATCACTAGTTCTCAATCTCCTCACCCTAGTGAATTTTGTAAACCCTTGTCGAGTTGCTAAATGCTATTTATTTCCATTAGTGCGGCTCATCAACTTTACAAAATTTCCATTGCAAGGAATTCTGTAGTCCCAGAAGCAGTCGGGAGGGCCTTCTTGGGTAACGGCTTGGCACATGTGGTAGGCAGATCCTCTCGAGGGGGTCACAGTGTGAAGGACAGTTTAGCATGCAACCCTCATTTCTAATGACCAAATTTTCCGGAAGGCCGAAAAGGATCTCGTCCCAATTCTACGAGTGTTAGCCCCCTGGATTCTCTCTGAAGGGTTAAGGAGGACTCGCGGTCAATTCCAATTAACTGTTGCCCTCCACCAAAAAGAGAGTTACGATTGCACGGGTTACTATCACTGGCGTTATCGAGAAGATATGGATTGAAAATGCTCTTGTGAAGCAAGTGACTTGTTAGCTATTCCTTTCTTTATTGGATAGACTCTGAAAATGCTCTACAACAATGGAATGATAGATACACTCCACGTCGAAAAGATGAGAGGAGTGAGCGTGCTTCATCTACAACTTGAATGTATTGTTGTATTTTTTCAGGACAATCCATTTTGAGACAACTGTCTTGCTGGGCAAACGCACGATTCCACTTGCAATGGAAGAAAACATCTCACTAAAAGTGCAGGCAAAGCAACGTTTAAGCGAAGTGTGCAGCCACGCCCTCTCCACCTCCGGGAAGTGGAGTTGTAATGGATGTCAATCGAGAATCAGGCAGTTTGAACAGAATTGCTGACAGAACTTTCGCCAACATGATGCGAACTCAAAAGACACGATCACACATAGGTTGGGTGTGCGCCGACTATCTGCCCAGCCTATCGAGCGCAGGTGTTTCACTGTAATTGCGCTTTGGAATACAAGCAAAACGCAATTTCCTGATGCGATAACATTTGAGGTGTTGCTCATGCTGCAAAGTCCGAATAGAAGGTGATGAAGATGACAAAGGGCTAGAATGGAAAAAGAAACAGCGAAGCGTAGCTGTAAAATAAATAAAAATGAAAAAAATTAAGGGAATGCAAATTAATTGAAATCGCGTGTAAATTTCTGCGATTCGGTGCGAATCCGGCTCCAAAGCCATAGAAATACTTCAAACTAACCAGTGGGAGCTTGGCCGTTATTATTTTCATGTTTTGTGGGAAGCGGCGCGCGTAAAGGAGATGGGCGAGCATAGAGGATTTAGCGTGTTTCACGGTGTCTTGTATCCTCCACTTCGCTGCGCATGTTGGAGGGAAAACCGCTAACGTTTCGACGAGGCAGGGGAGGGCGGTAAGTCACGCCCACCCAAATATAAATAGTGTGACAGTACCATGTGTCTTCAAAAAGCTTATGTCATAAGAACAGTGACAGAAGTAAGCAAAAGAAAATGGAAAACCTCTTGAATAACCAACGGAAAGGAACATTTGAGAGCAGTCCACGACCAACTGGACATCATCACTGTCTCGGCTTGGTGACAGTAATATGAGATGGGTTTCGATTTACAGGCTGTGAAGAAGGCTACTGCCGAAAAGTTGGCCTAGCAGATAATGTAAGTCTAAAATTGTCCTTAACATTTGAGTACAGCTGCGATTCATAATCTCAGACATTTAAACTCTAGGACTAATTGTGCTAACTTCCTCACAAAGTCGTTGCCATCAGTCTCCTCGGGAATAGATGAAACGTCAGAGCCGTCAGCACTTCGATGAACTTGTCCGTCGGTTACAATTTCTTCATCAGAATTCATTGCATTAGCATATGGAAATGCAGTCCAGCGGGGAATCGCCACCTTGAAGCGTATGGACCAAATTTTTTCTTGGAATGGACTTTGCCAACCTCTAATTCTACTCATCAGAGTGTTTGTTAAGTTAAGGCCATCAACTAACATTTTTTTGCACGTCTCCGCTGAATCAAGCGTGTGACCCCGAATATGTAAGCACTTTTTAAAGTACTTTTTGAAGAAAATGCTTTTGAGTTTTCAAGGTTGAATTCATTAAAGTAATTCTACATTACTGAAGCACGTTATTGTGAGTAAATAGTTATTTCACAAAAGTACAGGGCGGCAGAAAAGACACTTGGCCGCGTCACATATCAGCAAAGTTATTCGGCAGCGCCAGAACCGAGAGAGTGAGATCACGAGTAGAGGGCGGAAGGATACCCAAGATGTTCCTCGATAAGCAGGAGCTGGCTCTCGCCCATCACCTTCATGTACACCAAAATATGAAGTCATCTCCAGTCGCAGCCTGACTGGAGAAGACCTTTGGAATTCATGTCACCTCCAAACAGCTGTGAAACTTCTTGTACGGAGCCATGGACAGCTACCTGGGTACCAGCACTCTTGATCTGGAAGATCTCCAACATCGAGCAGCATCGACAAGGTCGCTACGGTCCAGGATGTCAACTTTACAGCAGTCGCCAGGGACTGGGTTGGTGGTATAGGGACCAAAAGTTTCTGGGATGGGAAGAGCGATGTTTTCTTGATGGACCAGGAACTGAAAGTGAACGCTGACATTTAAATCGACAACTCGAGGAGAATATCCCGCCTTCATGTCATCGCCTGTACCTTCTTGGAAACTTTGTACTGCTACAGGATTGGGTGCCTCCACACGGAATCGAAGGGCGTTGGAAAAACTCTCGCCCACTTTGGAATGGAGGGGGCTGAAAGAAAGAAGGAATATCTAAGTGTGTCATCCGCCCTGAACATCTCGATTACCTGGCTCGGGTGAAGCTCAATAGGGTGGTCTACAGTGGCGGAGAAATCAACGATCTCCCTGAACTCAGGTACCCACTCACGGTCGCGTGGCAGAATCTCTCCATGACGCTCATGCAGAAGGCTGTGGCGGAATATCATTATAGTATACAATATGCTGTTGAATGGTGGTGGAAATGTTCAATCAGATTTCAATAAAGTGTAATCTATAGCGTCTTGAAAGTCAAGGAGAAAGTGTTTTTTTGTCTCCCCCTACATACTAGGTACTGTCCAAGCAGTGGCATATCAAACGGAGATTCCCGCAAGTAACGAACATCAAGAGCCGTTGCTCCATAAGCCCTCTCTCCTTAGTATGTTAAATTCCTTGGTTGTTTTGAAGAACAGAAGCGTATGTAAACTTTCTCAGCTTTCGTTTTATGTTAGGTGAAAACTACTGAAAATTGCGTGTCTTTCCAACAAGATCGTCGTCCTCAGAGGCCAGTAAACATATGATCCCAAGTTTAGATGTTGCACCCTCTACACCATCAAATGCCTCGTACGCTCCAGCAAATTTTAGGGGAACCGAAAACCCTAATAAGAGAAACCAACTTGGCACTCCAGAAATGGATGAGTGCACTGTGCCAATCGTTGCCAGTTGTAGTTGGTGGGTGTGTGCCACTCGTTGCCAGTTGTAGTTGGTGGGTGAGACATATTAGGCTGTTCTTATCAAGTGAGTATAGTTAGGAATTGCGCGTCTCGAACTTGTGAGGACAAAGACTGGGATAACGGATACAGTACAGCACGGATGCACACTTGGCTTTTGTGATACGCTACACATCCGACTTCCATCAACGTTTTCACCCTGTGGAACTAGCCTGATACCGATTGAGCAGCCCCAGTGCGATAGAAGGCTCTCTTAGATTGGCCAAATTCTTTCGGGATTGCAGGCAAAGGAATCAAAATGTGAGCGGGTGAGCGCGATCATGTGAGGCATGTGGGGATTCCCAGTCCTCAGCTATTCGCCTGTGAAACCACATGATTAGAATTCCCATCCAAATGATTCTATCCATGACACCTCAGCAGCTAGGCGTCAGTGAGCACTATACTTGACGGCTATTAAGGCAGCGTTCACACTTCGCGACGGTAGCTCTTCGGCCGCGCGTTCGGTGCGCATGCTTTCTACTGCCTCGATCGCATCGAATGCACGATCAAGCGCTACCATCACGAAGTTTGAACGCTGCCTAAAAGATAAGTGTTCATCGATGGAGGACGAACCAAGCCAAGAAACTCCTGCTGAGAGAGCTCAGGAAGGCAAAGCTAGCGAGGTGGTCACCCTCACACAATGTCGAGCTCTCGCAGCCACAGCAGACAAGTACGATCCGGATCGACACTCTCAAGAAGCCGATTGAGGTCTCGCCTGATTTCCATGGGTGATTTCAGACGACGTTGCATGCGGTGCAGCTCCGGACCCATTCACCATGGAAGGACCGTCTTCAAATGTAATTATACCTGATTAACTGAAGCATTTACACAAGTATTTACACTAGTTCTTTCTAATCGTTGCAACCCCGCTGAGTGGTCGCGTTTGCTGCGTCTGCGTTTGCTTCCAACATTACCACATACGTTTGTTCTGTTTCAGTATCCTCTTATATTCTTTGACCAAAATTATTTCAACTATGCCTCGCACGATCCGTAGCAAAGTTAGTTGCAGTTCTTTGCTTGTCATAGAGGAGGAAGCAACTCCCGTACTTAGTGAAATGAGTGAGTATGCTAATATGATCCGCTGACTTGATCAAATGTATACTTGAGCGGAACAAAGATCCTGTCATAGCGCACATGCTCACAGTCCTGTCAGAGAAAATACCAGGGGAATTCTCATCCCACATAGAGTCCGAAAAAAGATGCAGGAGCATTGTTATATCTGGCATCAGTGAGTCCCCTGAAACCTACTCCCATCTGAACGGCAAGCGATGTTGAAAAGAAGGGTTTCTGAGATTCTCGACGTTCTTAATGTTGAGTGCAGACCCACAGAAGCTTTCAGGATTGGTAAAGTTGGACACGAAAGCACGAGCGCTTAATCAAGTTGTACCTACCCGTCGCAATTCTATTGGCGTGTAGCTTGATAATGCTGCGGCTGCTCCGAGACCGTCAGGCTCGCTACAGTTTTTGTTTCGCAAGTCGTCGATGACAGCAGAGCGAAGACGAATGGATACAATCTGCGACACTAGCGTGTGAAAGAATAAAGGCAAAGCGAGTCGGTGGAAGGGTTGTATACGAGTCGGGCAACTCAGAAGTCTAGCATCTTCGCGGAGAGATCAAAAAACGCTTGCAGTTGCACATAGGCGACTGCGGTGTCACCTTAAGCTCGTTACTCGTTTTCTCATTACCATCGCGGTAGTAATGTCCAGCAATCCTCCATTCCCATTCATCTTGCGGAGGACCTGATAAGCAGCAGGCCAGCACCGCAACCCTATCATCGCTAATCATGTATGTTTGAGGCGGGTCAGTTACGGTGCGTACGAGTCGTCAACAGTCGACGTCAACGAAAGTAACGCAGATCTAGTTCCCGACCTGCTGCCAGAAGTTATCATTAGATTAGCGCATTAGCTTTTCGTAGATGGTTTTTCCCCCACAACATTTTTCACATCTTATTTACATCCTTTTCTGTTTGTAAACAATTTCTCTATCTCCTTCCATCCTCTTGAGTGACCTTACGGGTCTGCGGTCAGGACTCCAGCCGACCGAGACGGTCGCCGCGCTGGGAAAGTGGATCTACGCCGCCGGCGCTTTACTATGCCCTAAGAGTCCCCTGAAAACCTACCCCATCTGAACGGCAAAGCGATGTTGAAAAGAAGGTCTCTGAGATTCTCGACGTTCTTAATGTTGAGTGCAGACCCACAGAAGCTTTCAGGATTGGTAAAATTGACCCCAAAAGACCGCGCTTAATCAAAGTTGTACTACCGTCGCAATCTCATTGGCGTAAGGTTAGCTAATGCTAGGCTGCTCCGAGAGTCAGGCTGCGCTAATGTTTTTGTTCGCAAGTGTATGACCGCAGAGGAAAGAAGAATGACTACGAACTGAGACAACTAGCGCGTGAAAGAAATAAAGGCAAAAGCAGTCGTGAATGGGTTGTATACCGTGGGCAACTCAGAAAAGTCTCAGATCTTCCCCGGAGAAGATCGGAAAACGCTTGAGTCTGCATGGTACTACAGTGTCACCTTCATCTAGTTTACTCGTTTCTCATTACTCGGTTAGTAATGTCCAGCATCACCTCCATTCCCATTCATCTTGCGAGGCCCCTGATAGCAAGAGGCAGAGCAACCCTGAATCTCATTCTAATCATAGTATGTTAGGCTGACCGCCTGAGGTTCATACCCGTGCAGACGGAGTCGCTCCAACGTTCGACGTAACCGAAAGTAAGCCGACGATCTCTAGTTCCCGACTGTGCCAAGAAGATTATCATTAGATTAGCGATTAGCTTTTCGTAGATGGTTTTTCCCCCACAACATTTTTCACATCTTATTTACATCCTTTCTGTTTGTAAACAATTTCTCTATCTCCTTCCATCCTCTTGAGTGACCTTACAAGTGCGTGTGTTCAGCGCACTCACCGCCGCACCGAGACTAGGTCGCCGCGCTGGAAAGTGGATCACCGCGCGCGCGGCGATTACATGCCCTAACATGTTTGCAAGTTTGGACATGTCTACCTGTTTGGACATGTTCTTGGCAGATGGAAGATGAGGAAAAGAGAGAACGCTCCTGAGCAAACTGCGATAGGGTCATATTGATCGGAAGTTGGCAAAATGCCAGGTCAGGACACCCGCCACGCGAACACGTCGCCGCGTGCGGTGACCTAGTTTCGAGCGCGGCGGTGACTCCTGGCCGTCTTCCGTGACCTTACAACCTATCTTCTTCATTTCGAGAGAAATACCATGACATCGATTCCACGTGGCTTACGTGGAATCGATGTGGTTCCCAGTATATATAGGTTGGAAGGAAAGTCCTGTCAGTGTTTTTTGAAAAGCTTACAGTTTTTGATTCTCGATGCTCGTACATGACGTAACATGCTATGCTTGTAGGACACTCTGGGAGCTTTCCTGCAAGAGGCGTGTGAGGGCGCCTGCTCTTCCCTGGGTTTAATTACGATGTCATTTTCACAGGAGTATCTTCGAGTCATCATCTTCTATCAGTGGCCCCGCGGCACTGGAGCCACAGCAGCTGTCCGTAACATCAACAGTGCATTGAGGGAGGACACCACTACCGTCAGGATCGTTCACTTTTAGTTCGCTCGCTTCGCGAAAAGAGACTCGATCCTCGAAGACAAACCTTGGTTGGGACGGCCCCAGAAGTATAAGACTCCACCATCCTCGAGGAGGGCGATCCAGAGGCTACCACGCGCAGTTTTGCGACAGTCGTCCACCGCCTGCAAACCTCTGACTACCAGTACTGGCTGATGGATCATTCATCTCAGCAGGTTCCCGGTGAATCTTGTTTGCGTCACTCTAATTTCGCTGCTAGATTCGCGCTTCAGTTACGCCGATGAGTCACCACCAGCTGCGAGCCGCGTGGTCCTCCCCCCAAATACCTTAGCACCCTTTTTTGCAATGCACTAATTCTTATTCAGGTCGTGAAGGAGGTTCCGTAGTTGGAGAGCCCGCGAATCTAATCCAAAAGGCACCTATTTCCTCAGGTAACCATTCTAATTTTCATACTTTTTCTATTTCAATCGGACGCTGCCTCTTAGGCATTGTTTATAGTCTGCCTACTATACTCTACGAAGAAGCGGCTTCGGCGAAAAGCTTTCGATACGTATCGAGTGGCGGTTGGGCGAAGAGTCTGGCGGTTGGGCGAAAGTTTTGATAGGTATCGACAGGCGTTTCGCCAACCCGCGACTTTTTCTTCACGCTAGCTCGACCGCCGTGGCGTTTTTCGCTAGCACGGGCATTGCCACATCACTCGACCCGTATCTAATCTTGTAGCCGTCGGTTTCGTCGGTTTCGTCGCTTTCGTCGCTTTCGTCGCTTTCGTCGCTTTCGTCGGTTTCGTCCGTTACGTCGGATCGATACGTATACAATCTTCGGGAACTAGTCGTCGGTTACGTCGGTTACGTCGCTTTCGTCGGTTACGTCGACGTTGACGACGCCGTCGCACGGTATGAACGCAGCCTTAGGTGCTCCTGCCCCCCTTTTCTGCACTTTACTCAACGCTCGGAGTCTTGTGAAAACCACCTCCAGCTGTTTCTTTCAAAAATGAACCTGACCTATTGTTTGTTACGGAGACCTGGTTAACATGTAAGATCAAGAATTCTGAAGTATCATCCCATCTACCGTATGATGTAGTACGGTTGGATAGGAAGTGATAAGAGAGGTGGTGGAGTTTGTTGTGTTATCAAGAATACACTTACCTCACGAATCGTACGTCACGACATTCGCTCCAAAGCTGATGTACTGTGCGTTGATATACTACCCCATTATGGTTATTCCCCTTCCGATTTGTTATAGTGTACCGCCCTCCCGATTCTCTGATTAGCGATGACGAAAATCTCATTGAGTTGCTTGCCACCTTTATAAGTACTGAACGTGAAACTGTGATTCTGGGCGATTTCAACTTATCAGTAGACTGGGAAAACATGATTCCTATAGGTTCTAATTCTGCCAAGTTTCTAAATTTCTTTCGCAACTCAGGCTTTGATCAGGTGGTACGGCAACCAACCCATGAGAACCGGATCCTTGATCTCATTCTCACTACTACCCTTCTATTACAAACGTGTCACTGATGCCTCCTTTGTCAAGCTCTGACCATTGTATTGTGAACTTCCATATACTGTGCTTTTACTCTACCTTCTATCACCATCCATGCCGGATTACCATAACGTGAACTACGCTTCGCTTGCCTCCATAACGTAGATTGGTTCGCGGTTTTCGCGGGCTACGATTCGATGTCTGACCTGTATCGCAGGTTTTGTACGCTCATCTATCAATATTTATCTGCTCATGTGCCCTTCAAAACGCCGCATAGACATAGCATTCGATACCCCCTACACATTCGAAACTTACTCGCTCAGAAGCAGCGCATTTTTCTTGCGTCTTCAGATTTTTTGAGAAGTCCACTGTATAGAAAAGTTTGTGCTGACATTGATCTGCATCTAAAGAAATTTTGGGACAACTATGAACGACGGCTAGCCAAGCGTGCTTCTATGAAGAATCTTCACCAATATATCCGTCACAAAATGAAAATGATAGGAAGTTCAGGCTCTATTGTTGATATGAATGGAGTAACATGCACTTCCGAAACTGATAAAGCTACCGCACTTGGCAATTTTTTGCCAGTGTCTTCACCAAAGATGCTGACCCTGCGTTCTTACAAACAAATTTCGAACTTATTCAATGCCGTTGCAATGACTTCTACTTTACTCCCGATGAGATTTTTAGCGTTCTGAAGAGATTGAAACCCTCTACCAGTGAACCGTACGATGGAATACCTCCTATAGTTTATAAGAAATGCGCTCGCTCGCTTTCGCGACCGCTTGCTCATTTATTCAACGCATCATTCATGCTGGGCGAGGTTCCTGAGATCTGGAAGGATGCGCTAGTCACAGGGATTCCAAAGGTTGATGGAGCCGTCTTGGTATCGGACTTCCGCCCAATTAGTATTACTCCAACACCTGTCAAAGTGATGGAAAAGATTATTCGAAAGAGAATTGTTGATTGGTTACTAAAAAATAAGCTTATTCCACACGAGCAGCACGGTTTCCTTCCGGGGCTATCGACTGTAACAAATCTTGTTGACAGCTTTTATGACTGGAATCTAGCATTGAACCATGGTAAGTCAATCGACATTATCTACGTTGACCTATCCAAAGCATTTGACAAGGTGAATCACGCAAAACTACTTCTAAAACTGCAATCTCTTGGGATTGCGGGGAAACTCCTGAAGTGGTTGAGATCCTATTTATCTGAACGACATATGACTGTCAAAGTGGGGCAAAGGTTTCTCTGACCGATTTCACTGCACTAGTGGCGTACCCCAAGGCGGAGTTCTATCTCCTCTACTTTTTGTGATCTATACCTTGGATTTGCCGTCCTACCTCAAAACATCTGAAAATGTAAGAGTGCAAAAATGTATGCTGATGATATTAAAATATATGGTATCTTCAACGATGATAACTGTAACGAGGTTCACTCAGCTCTTAAACGTTCGATTGAAAACTTGAAATCTTGGGCCACACACTGGGATATCGATGTAAACCCAAAGAAGACGTTTGTACTGCATATAGGTAAAGCCCTATTCTACACAATATACAATCAATGATGTGAAGTTGAAAAGCTGCGAACTCTCTAAAGATCTTGGAGTTTTGGTTGACACGAATCTGAAATTATCTAACACATCGAACATATAGTAAACAAGGCATATGCTACCCTTTTCGCAGTTTTTCGTAATACCTATACCACTGATGTAACCACTCTGGTACGCCTTTACAAGACATATGTACTGCCGCATCTTGAGTATTGTTCTCAGATTGGAACCCCACACGTAAAAAGCAAATCATCAAGCTAGAAAAGGTACAGAAGTTGTTTACAAGGCTGCTGTTCCATCGTGCTTTCCAATGTCACAACTCAATGCCCAGTTATAACGAACGTTTAAGACAATTAGGCTTAAAGACGCTTAGATACAGACGGACAATTGCGGACCTTGTTTTTTGTTTTCGCCTTCTACGCATGGAGACTAATCTGTCTCCAAGTAAGTATTGGGTGTTCAGGCCAAGTCACGAAAGAATAGGCGGATTCAACTTACATTACCCTCGGATTCAAAAGAAAAATCAGACTCAATTATATAATTTTGTGCTCTACCGTGGTGCGAGGTGGTTACAACGTTTACCCACTGAAATTCTGTCGTCTGGTGACAGCCATAGTTTTAGAAAAAACTGATAAAGATCAACCTATTACAGCTTCTCGGGTTGGATGACTCATTTTAGTCTCAAACATCTACCTTTTTTCAGTACATTTGAAGTTCTTGCTGTGTGCAGTATGTTTCCCAAGGATTTCGTCATTTTCTTCGTGGAATCGAAGGCATAAATCACGATATCATTGATATTCTTGTTTTCACCATATCTGCAAGGAGGCACACTGGCTATCTAAACTAAATCCTGAGGGTTTTTTTTCTTGAATTGATTACATTGATCACTTGTTCCACTGTAGTCTGATGATCCTCAAATGTGTCTAAAGTAATTATTATCCTCAATGGTTTTCGTAGTTGATGAAACCCTCTGCTTGAGGTCCTCGCCTTCGCCTGGGGTCCCCCCGAAAGGATGCGCTCGTTCGGTCAACCGTCAGCGGGCCCCAAGTATTACGACAATCTTGCGTTCTAGGTACGAAGGTCGATCTCGCAGTAGGCCTTATCAACTGTCAAGGGGAGGACTATATTACAAGTGTTCAATTATATTCTTCACTTATGACTTTTCTCTCTTCTCAGGAAGTAGTTTGAATAGCGTGTGCTCCTTGTCTCTGTCTTAATGTTTAGTGGAAATATTAAGTTTCAACGAGTTTATTATAGTGTAGCAATTTGTGGCACACCTTATGGTGTAAATAAATAAATATAAATAAATTTAAGGATGCGCGATTTGCTTGTGAGAACTCTGTAAATGCAGAGTACGCTTCACATTAAGCGATGGACTGGGCGTGGCTGCGTACGTGAACATGGCGTAGGATGCTTTGTTCGTGGGATATTATCATCTGACACAAGTGTTGTCTTATGTACGCAGGTTCGGCAGATGTCTCGCAACTGATCATTCCTCCCGGAAGCGGCAGCGTACCGGCTAGCACTTAAAATGAAGTACGTAGCCGCGGGCTCTTCATCTCTGGGATATGGAGTGTAAATGTGGGACATGAACTTATTACAGGACCGATCTATTGGAACACACCCGAGGGTCATTCACAGGAACATGAGGCAACTATAAAAGAAAGCTAAAGAGAAAGAGGCAAGAAGAAGGATAAAGAGGCTTGTTAAGTTGCGTGCCGGAGAAGGGAATAAGAGGCCGAGTTATGGGGAAACACTTGTCAATACTTCACTGCTAACGGTACTCGATATCATGGAAGATCACTGCTTTTGCGGTGAATGAGGCTAGCTATTGAAGGCGACGTGAAGTTACGGCTTCGCCTGTGTCCGCTTTTTTCAAGTTCGCTCCGAGGCGGAATCTAAAGTAAGTTTGTTGCCAGTTGCTTCTCAGGTGTATTTGTCTTGCGAATTTGAAATCTTTTTCATTCATTTCCCGAGCCATGGTGTAACTGCCGTGAAAGTGTTGACCTGCATCCTTCGCCGTTCACTGTAACCCAGCACACCTAACGGCCCTTTTTTGTTCAAGGCCGACATGTCTGACGCTTGGACCAGGCAGAAGTGCATGGCATGAGACAGGGCGTTTGGCGCGGCAGGGATTGAGCAGCAGAGCTCGCCTTTATCCCGAAGAGATGTCACCGTAATGGGACATCTGATCTGGCCATGCTCCAGGCTTTATTCCCGTCACACGCGCTATCGTTTGCATGGATCATGGCTGTATGCGTCGGCCTGTGATATGCTGCCATCGTGGTAGGGAAACGAGCAAGAGATCTTAATTTGCCGTTCCGCCGCACGCGGCGATGGGCGTGGCGTTTCCCTCTTACCTCGTGTCAAACTCTGTGACTGGAGCAGCAGGAACTTCAGCTAGACCTCGTCATCGGTAGACATGTTCCATGACTGTTTCGTTCTAAATTGCCTGTTGTCACCACCATCACCACTTACGGGCGCGACGTCGCACGCGACGCCTACCGGCGCGGTGAATTACGAATCTCTTGTCACGCACCCATCCTGGTAGCAGTGAGAGGCATATCATATGAAAACTATGACTCTGAGTGAATCACTCCCAAGGACGGGGGGCTCGGCTCGGAACCAAACTCGGACGCAGTTCGCCAACAGGGAGGCAGGGGCTATTTTCCACTTTCGTTGCTCGACTAGTTTCGGTTTTCAAGTCTAACTCCGGTATAACCTGTGAACTCTTGTGAATGTGAAGTAAGCTTCTCTACCGACCACGGTAGAACCTGTCAACTCCTGTAAGCTCACAAAGTGGCTTCCAAAAATTGGTCGCGTCAACGCCAAAGTGAAGAGCAAAAAAGCCTCAATGCCCCTCCGGTCGCCTAAGAGCCCCCCCCAACCTGTTCTGCTACCAATCGGTGAAGCGACTCCTAGACGACAAGTTGGGTCGGAAAACGACTGATGGCGAACGATATCTTAACAGTATATCGGTTTGCTGCGATACAACAATCGGTGAAAAACGTGTAGGCGCCGCCGCCAAACATCGCACCTGCACACAACCCTCCATCACGGCGAACAAGAATGTGATGCCTGCCTGCTGTGCGTCATACCACATAGCCGTATTACTCTGAAGTTCGCTGTCACAAAGGTATTAGAAATAAGGAAACGATTCATTAGACCTGAACAAATGAATCAATGAAAACAGATAAGCTCGATTAATCTGCTCATAAAACGATAAAATTTAAGAGACATTAGGAATGCAGTAAACTATCTGTTCAATACACAAAAAATGAAAGTCGATCGAAGCACCACAATCGTGCTAAAATCACAGTAACTGCAGTGCTTAAAGAGACTGATCCATTTCAAATCTATTCTATAAGAAATATCAATAACAAAGATTACAGGTAACTGGTTAGTAACAATTAGCTAATTAATTAATGATCGTGATTACAGTGAACATGACTGTTAGAACCTTTGTGAAATGTGACCAACAACAGAAAAAAAATTAACAACTCTGATTGGTTACCGTTACTCTAGAGAAAGGAGAGCCAACAGATAAATACCATGGCTTGTGCTCTCTCTCTCAGACTAGCGCTTTCTTTCTCAAGGGTCAATTCTAATCGACCTAGATTGAAATTTTACAGCGTATGATGAAAACTTGAAACTGAAACATATCGCAAAAAAAACAAGGGCACACCATCACTTAACCGCCGGAAGTGAGCCACTTACGTAACGTACACCACTTGGACCGCGTTCAGACTTCGCGATCGCACAATTGGATCGCGCGACCACGAAATGGCGCTCCACGGCCAAGCGGTGCGCCGCCGCAATGGCAAAATTCAAAATGAACCGCGTTCATGCAGTGGAAATTTGATGTGACTTTTCGGCGGTGCACCCTTCGCGGAGGAGCGATCCCTTCCATCGTCGTGGTCGCGCGATCGCGAAGCCTGAACGCGATCTTACAGGTTACATACGTACTATAGAAATACTATCGGCTATAGATCACTATATCTCAAATCAAGCTCAATACTTTCTCACTCAGTCTCACATCAGAAGAGACTGTTCGGGACCGAAACCGTATTACCTAAAGAATGATATGTTATCAATGAGTGTCCTTTTCAAGTGTCGCTTCCGCCTCTTTGAGTGGGAGCTCTTCTGGAGCATCTCCTCCTTTGTGTTTGGCCCATTCTAAGACTTCTCCGCTGGCGAAAAGACTGAACACAATCGATCCAGTCGCAAGTATACCGGCTGTGAGCCACAGGACGCCTTGCCATTCTTCTTGAGTTCCCTGCAAATTGCGTGTAGAAGAAGCAACATCGAATAAAAAGTTCTTGGACATTCGTCCGTGTCACAGTGCTGCGAGAGGCGTGGCTACATATTCCAATGCCGGCACATGTCTCTTACACATAACGCTATTTCGTCTGATCTCTGCCGCTCTCACAGCCACGCCCTCTTGCTCCCCTCAGATATGAACTGTACCAACATTTGGAGTCAGCGCTGACGTGACCATCGGTGAAACAATGCCAGCAAGACAAGATATCGTGTTACCCATTCCCATTATTGTACCAGAGAAGGAAGGTGCAATGTCCAAGTAGTTGACAACAAAGCCCGAGTATTGCAGACCAGAAATAGCCATTCCAGCTGTCAAGTAGATTATAACCAGTGCCTGAATCAATTCCGGTTAGGACGATACTAGTGAATCCAGATCTAAAAAGACTAGAGAGCGCCAGCCAACCTCCTGACCACATCCGCAGTAGCCAGAGAGGACGAGGAACATCGCTTGACCAAGCAAGGCTGCAAAAAAGAACTTTATCGATGGTCATGTACTGCTCTCAACAATTCTGTATATAACGATTCCAAAATTAGCTGATTTTCGTGGAAATACTATAGTCACCAATATATTCCATTTCAGGAACCTGCTGACCAAATTTCCGCATTTGTTTAATCCATTAATTTTCACAAAGTTTCTTAGGAAAAGCTATTACCGTCCAAGGACATCGAAAGCAGGAGGGGGGGGGGTGGAGTGGATACCAATACACACAGTAAGAACGTGTTAGGCAGCGTTCAGACTTCGCGACGGCAGCGCTTCGGTCGCGCGTTCGACGCGATCGATGCGCATGCTTTCAACTGCATCGATCGCGTCGAACGCGCGACCGAAGCGCTACCGTCGCGAAGTCTGAACGCTGCCTAATAGAGAAAACCGGGCCTTCCAGCCAAATAGGAGCGGGTGATGCCGACTAAATAGCGCTTTCCAACGTATTTTGTGACAGCGAAATGGTACGTTCTCTATGCTTGCGAACAGGACTACAATGTCGGGGAGGTGACTGGAGGCATACAAGAGCCCAACCGCAACGTTTTCTA